CTGGAACTGGGCAGAGTGGGGAGCTGACCCTGGTGCAAGCCTGTGCTCAGCACTGGTGCCAGTGGAGCAGGATGAGCAGCCAAGGACCCCCGTAACCTGGTGCTGCTCCCTGTGCTCTGCAGGTGGAGAACATGCTGTTCCCCAAACTCATCTCCCTGAACTCACCTCACTTTGACTTCACGGGCTGCAACTTTTCGGAGAAGAACATGTACGCCCGGGACAAGCGGGACGGGCAGTCCAAGGAGGGCAGCGGGCGTGTGGCCATCTACAAAGCCCTGGGCATCATCCACAGGTAGGGCAGCACTGGCCTGGCACTGAGTGCTSTGCTGGGTGTGGGATGTGGGACAAAGGGGGAATCAGTTTTGTGGGACAGCCACGTCCCGTGTGGCCCCAGGGTGGGACAGCAGAGCTGGATCTGGTTGTGCTGGGTGCTATCGTGTTCCTGAAACACAGCCTCAGCCAGGCTCCTTTCTTTCCTGTTCCTCACCATCCCTCCTGCAGCTGCTCTAGCTTCTCCTTCCTGCTCTTGCATGGCTTTCTGWGGGGAATTCTGCTCTTTCCTGGGTATTCTTGTCTGTATTGAGCTGTAATTAGGTAGAGTTGCTGTGGCTGTGTGTGATTCCTGCCTCAGCCCATTGGGGATACCTTGGATCCACCCCTCTCCCACATGAGATTGGATACTCCTGGCCCGTTCCTGTGCTGCAAACACAGCAGCCAGACCCACAGACCCAGTTCAGAGAGCTGAGATCCTCTCAGTTTCCTCAGCACTTGCTGTGTGCTCAGCTGCTGCTCCATGCCCAGCACCCACAGGAACAAACACACACGTGGGGGTTTGGGATTGGGTCACTGGGGTACTTTCCTCTGTGACTGACTTGGAGCGGCCCAGGTTTTTGATCCAACAGTGACATCCCAAAAAGTTCAGGGAATGCTCACAGTGCATGTGTGGTCCCTCAGACAGACAGGACAGAGCTATGCAGGTTTTCTGCTGTACTGACCCTGCAGTTGTCTTTGGGCAGTGGGACACATGGGAGCCATCCCAGCTGKCAGCTCCTAGACCCCATTTCTCCATCCCTCCTCCTTCAGCAGGACTTGCTCCAAGACACCTTGAGGGTCAGGGGAAGGCTGTGGCCACCTGCTCCCTGGGTTGTTAGTGTTGGCATCAGATAAATCCCTTTTTCCACCTATCAGGGACACCCTTATTTCCCATCACCTTCCAGAGGTGACCAGGAGGTCCCCTCGCAGGGACCTTGGCGCTTTGGGTGCCACCCTCAGGGGCCCCACGATGTCCATCCCAATTTCCCATCATGCTGATCATGGTACATCCACACATCCCCACACAGAGCATGGGTCATTCCTGCTGTCAGAAGGTGCCATCCTCAAAACCCTGCACCTCAGTGTCCTTTGGAGCAGGACCCCATTTCTGGTTCAATGGGACCCCCTTCCCAGTGCTCTAAAGAGGCTCTCACAGGGGGACACGTGGGATGACCCCAGCCCAGCTGTGGGATCATGGGGTGACAAGGGTTCCCTTGTGCCCCACAGCTACACCCTGGAGTGCAACTACAACACGGGGCGCTCWGTGAACAGCATCCCAGGGGCCTGCCATGACAATGGGCGTGCCAGCCCCCCGCCAGCACCCGCCTTCCCCTCCCGATACACCGTGGAGCTCTTCGAGCAGGTACAGGGGTGCAGTGGAGCCTGGGTGGGAAATGAGATCCAGAGGCTGGGCTGGGCTTTCTTTCCTCCACTTGATTTTCTACCTCAAGCTCTTAAGGGGCTGCCCGTCTCCCCAGTGCCCCCGTTCCCTGGCATTCTCCCTTCCCAGAGTCCCCCTTTCCTAGTGCCCCTGTGTCCCCCTGTGTCCCCCCTTCTCCCGGTGACCTCCTCTCCCTGTGACCCCCTCACTGCTGCCCCTCTCCCCAGTGCCCCCCACTATATCATATCCCTCCTTCCCAGTGTCCCCCATGCCTCCCTTCTCTCTGTGCCTCTCACTGTGCCCCCATGCTCACCCGTGCCCCTCTCTCTGGTGCCCCACACTCCTGTTCCTCCTCTGTCCCC